GAGGGGTGGTGGAAGGAAGGTGGGCTATTCCCTTACTGTGGGCTATTTTAACACAGATTTAGTCTGCGGGCACATGTCTAGAGTACATTGTGTAACATGGGGGCAGAGAAGAGTGAGATCCAGAGTTGTAAAGGGAATGGTATATTGTGGTAGCTATAAGGAACAAAGCTGGGTCAAAGCGCTTAACCACTGCAGAGCATAATCTTCACAGAGAGGCCAGTAGAGGAGACATGCAACAAGGTAAAATAATCATATTGGTGGATGGAATGGCAATATTATTAAACAGGGAAAACAGATAACACTAGCCCTGAAGGGGAAAAAAATGAAGTTATGAGAGAAGCTCACAAAATATAGTGAGAAAAAAAGAAAATAAATAAGGAGGTAAAAAGGGAAGACAGGGGAAAGAGCATTCAGAGGGTATATACAAATAAATGGAGTTTAAATGGAGTTTAAGAAAATAAGGAGCCATGAGGACACTCCAGATGTCATGAGAAAATCTGATATTAAGGTAATAATATGAAACTTCGTGACAAAATACACCCCAACGGAGATAGTTTATTGCTGGATAAAATGTTTATAGTGAAGAAACTAGGGAGAGCAGAAAAGGGAGAAAATATACTTACAGGCTGCATATACCTGCTACCTGAACATCTTCTGATGCTGGGCAAATAAGGATAACAAATCCTTAGCTGTTCTGGTGTAAATTCCCATGGAAAATGAGTTGAAAGAGAGGAATCAAGGCATCCCAGGGCCACTGAGGGGGGAGGACAAAATTTGGGGGACCCAAGTCAGCTGGAAGGCCCCTGAAGCCAGCATCATGCTGTATTCACCAAATGTATTTAAAAAAAAAATTCTAATGCAGTTCTGACTGCAGCCACTAGGGGTGCAGGGAAGGCAGAGTAAAGCAAAGTGCATTATCTGTCTTGGCCTTTCTGCAAAGTTTACTAGATGCTAAGGGAAACCATTTGGTGATCAGATCCTGCTAAACCCATCAGCCAAGCCATCACTGGAGCAAGGCAAAACCAGCCAGGACAAGCTAGTCATTGCCAGGATGCAGCCTCCTAACAAGGATGTTATCTATGGTTTCCTTTCTTTAGTTTCACTCAGCACCTACACAGCCAAATCTTGCAAAAGGGGCAGTCCTGTCAGAGCAGGGGTGTCAGACTCATTTGTTACAAGGGCCAGATCTGTTATAAAAAGGAGTTTGTTGGGCCAGGCCATGTGGGTCATAAAATGTAATGCTAGGTAGTGAAGGACACAGACAAACACAATTAAATACAAACATGCTTAAAACAGTAACACTCTTGCCATATTTTATTTAACATAACTGACACTTCCCAAACCTCCCCCCCCAAAAAAAAAGATGCCTACCTAAAATGAAAGGTGGGGGGATAATAGGATCTGACAATGCAATTTTTAGAAATAAAACATCAAGAAAAAGCACAAGGATCACAGCAGAAACTAAAAATAAAAACTAAAAATATGCTGTGAGCCTAGGAAAACATGAAATGGCTGGGCATTGCAAGCTGCCACACACACACCCCTCGGTCTACTCAGAGTAGCAGTGGCTCTCCAGTGTAATGTCCCCCTTTGGCTGTGCATTCCCAGGTTAGACTACTCACTCAGGAACCTGTTCTCAGGTCCATTCAGCAGCGGCAAGCTGGCTCAAAACATCAGCACTTTATTTGCAAGAAGACAAATTCAACTGGAAACTGAAATTCCACTCCATTGAAATACATTGCAGCTCAAAAAAAAAAAAATGCAAAGAAAATGCGGAATGGATTTTCCATTAAGGTTCCTGGGCCAAGATAGACTAGTCTGGGAGTGGAATGACAGTCCCCAGAGTGGAATTTTATTCCCAGAATGCAGCTCCTACTCCCAGGGACTGTCATTCCACTCTGGGGGCTGTCATTCCAGTCCCAGACTAGTCTATCTGGGCCTAGAGACCTTAAAGGGAAATCCATTCCACATTTTCTTTGCAGCTTTTTTTGTGCTTTAGCCCAGAGGAGCTTCCTGTTGGAGGAGAAAATGCGAAGACAAGGCCAAGCCAGCTGGGAAGTTTGGCAGCCCTGATCTCCCTTGGAAGGGTGAGGACAGGCAGGGCAGAGAGTGAGCGGTGGAGAAGAAAGCCGCAGGCCTGATTAAAGCCCTGGGCAGGCTGCTTCTGGCCCGCCGGCCTTAGGTTTGTGTTGTGTATGGAATATAAGGAAATGAAATGTATGAGCTTGAGTCTGACAAGGTATTGTGAACTGACCTATCAGAACAAAAGAAGTTCTGGAGGGAAGCAAAGTGATTGGTCTTTATGTACAGTAATTGATTGGATGTTATCTGACATATGGGCGTGGCTTGCCAAGCCCGGACTGTTTAAAAAGGAGCCTGTTGCTCCATTGTTTGTCTCGTTCTTGTTCTTCTGACTTCGTGTTCAAATAAAGCTGTTATCACTGTTCACCTGCTGCCTTGAGTCTCGTATCTAACAGTTTGACACCTCTGTGTTAGAGTGTGGTAGCAAAACCAACCAAACAAACAACCCCCCCAAAAAACCCCTTTCATTGTCTTTTCCTACATTTCCCTAACCCATTCCCACACTTTTCTTCTCCTTCATTTTGTTCTTTCTTTCTTTCATGATCTGCCCTTTGTCTGTCCCCACTTCTAATTTTTCTCCCCCTCCCCTATTTTTCAGTCTCAACTCTTCATCTATCCTGCTCGGCAACTTAGAACATATTTAATGGTAGTATAGCAGCAAACCTTTGTTAATGTTTGGGGGGAATTAATATTTCCCTATCATCTATCAGAATAGTAAAAGCATGCTCCCTAGGGCTGCCAAGTCCCCCTGGGGGGCGGAAATCCTCCCGACCCAGAGGCCGACGCCGGGAAATCGGGCCCCGGGGGGAACCCCGCCCCAGCGTGCATGTCACAGGGAAGTGACGTTATGACGCCGGGCACGCTGGGGGTAGGGCCACAGGCATACAAGGGAAAACTCTATGGTTTTCCCTTGTATGGTCGTTGCCCCGCCCCCAGCATGCCTGGCGTCATCACGTCACTTCCCTGTGACGTGCAAGCGGCGCGCACGCGCCGGGATCCGCACGGGAGTCCCCCGCCGGCAAGGTAAGTGCCACTTGGCAACCCTAATGCTCCCCCCTCACCCCTTTACATGCATAACAAAAGAATGTCAATCTGCTTTAGTGGTAGCAAATGGTTAACAGAAGTTAGAACATTTATTTATTTACTTTATTTATATCCCACCTTTCTTCCCAAGGGGAACTCAAAATGGCTGACAGAGTTTTTTTTACCTCCATTTCATCCTCATAGCAACCCTGTGAAGTAGGTTAGGTTGAGACTGTGTGACGGGCCCAAGGTCACCCAGTAAACTTCCATGGCAGAGTGGAGATTTGAACCTGGGTTTCCCAGATCCTAGTCCAGCAATTTAACTACTACACAAGCTTAGCTTCCATTGCAAATAGCATGGGGGTGTCTGGAGATAACCCGGGGTAAGATATTCAAATTCCTTTCAATTTTTGGCCCTGGAATTGCCTTGATCATCCTGAAGCTGGTGGTCAGTTTTGAGATTCCTAGTTTTATTTTCTGATGAGCTGTGCCTGCCACAAATGGACACACAGATGGACATGCAGATCCTGTTGTTATTATTATAGATGCATGGTAAGAGCCAGCAAAGTTATTTGTTTTGTTATTATATTTGGTTTGGATCAGGATCATATGGGGGGGGGGGATGGAATTTCTGTCCGGGGGCCATGGTGGTTCTTGGCAGCCCTGAGGCAGCCTAAGTGAATGGAAGGGCAGAGTGTGGACCACATAGGATCCGTACAGCTCTAAGCTCACACAATCCTTGTCTGAAACCCTGTTCTGTGTGTTCCTGACTGGCCATGAAAGACAGGACTTTTTGTCCTGGTGCCTTGTTCTCCGAATGTCTTCCTCTTGGTGCCAGGGAAAATACTTTTTATTCTCTCAGACATTTGCAAACTGATTACTTCTTCCCCTCTCCGTTTGGCCCTGGTGAATTCTGTTTTGTTGTATTGAAATTTGGCTGCTGTTTTGATTTTTATAAATCAGGCATTTGGATGCTCTCCAGCTGAAGGTGCAGCTGTTTATTTACTTCAGGACTTAGAACTGATTCAAGGCCCACCTATTCAGAAATGTTTGGGGGCATTAAAAGTATGCCATATGAGTCTTGTTTTTACTGATACTTTTTACTTTTGTTATTTGATTTTGAATGGCTCATTATTTGACTGAAATTTAAGAGTTGATTATAAGCCACCATGAACTTCAGAAAGGCAGGGTAGATTAAAAAAAACCCCACCAAATTGAAGATATAGAATTGGTCCTTGTATTAGGTTGCCAAAGCAATTTTTGGAAAGTCTTCTTTCTAATAATTGTCAATCAACAGTTGCTTTCATGATTTTCAGAGCTTGCTGGAATTATTATTTTCTCAAATAACAATTGGCATCACCTGCTGCTTCAAGTGAAGACAATATGGGATGGTTACTCTCTACATAAATGAACCCAGAACCAAAAATCTGTACAATGACACCCCCCTAATATGAGCTTTTCCTGTCCTGTGAAATGGTAAGGAGAATTTTATCACACATCAGGTACATACGTGTTATAAAATGCCAATTTCTGTTCACTTATAATTATCTGAATGTCTAAAAATGAAGATGTACAAAAAAAATTAAATGAAAATTACAATATTCCAAACACCAAATATTCATGCACAAGAATTATCGTCTATTTCCTGGGAAGTTTATTAAGCAAAAATGTCATCCACTTTTTCATAAAAGGATAGAAGTTTTTTTCCAAGTCTTGTCAATACTACAGTGAAATGTTCTCCTGCTGCTTTTCCGATATGCATTACCACCATGAAACTCTTGATAAACCAATCCACTCCTATATCACAGAACAACAATACTTTGCATAAGTGTGTTTATCTGAAGCTGCTCTGCTATTTTATGCACCTGCCTTCTCCTACAATATATTTTTCTTACCTTCACTGCTGGGATGGGCTTCTTGGGAACAAACTGTTTTCTCTCTGGCTGGGAAACAAGGCTGTTCTGTTCCTTCTGTTTCAGTTTGTTCTCAGCTATTATCTTCTTGCGTTGTTCAAGGTAGGGACCAAAACTGGGAAGTTTCTTAAACAAAATAGGGAAGGATGTGATTATGGTTGTGTAAACACATACGATGAAACAGAAGTCACAGCGTGTTTTTCTTCCACCAGGCGTCCTCAGCTCCCACCCACCTCAGAGATGTCACCCTTCTCAATGATGTCAGTGCCTGTTCAGACCGTGTTGGTTGTCTCTTGTCCTTCAAGGCAAATTGTCCACATTAATTTTTTTTAAAGTGCTGCGTGTTCTTTTATTGTTTGTTAAAATGTTCATCCTCTTATTCTTTGTAAAACACAGTACATTTTAAAGTCTGGTGGGGAGGAGGAGTGGGCTTGTGATGTCGAAACCTACCAGCCAGCTCCTCCTGCAAATGTGTAAACTAGTTTACACTGAACTCCCATCCTGAACAGTATGTCACCAAGCATACTTCAACAGCGACCCAGCCTTCCAACTGTGTATGTTTGTCTGTGTTCTTTGTCTAGCGAAGATCAGTGCCAACAAATCCCAAATTCTTAATATTATTATGATTTCTGAAACAATATTTATTTGCTGCCAGGCATTATCCCCAGACATACTGGGCTCCAGGCTGAGTTACAAGGAGCCTTAGGACAAATTGCTGCAGCTTGTAATAGATTGAAATACCATGATAATTGCAGCTAGCCAGAAGAGTATTAACTGTGCCCAATAATGAAGAAGTGATGGCTAGTTTTTCTGGCAATAAGAAAAAGAACAGTCAGGGTCACTGTAGAAGAAGAAGAAGAAGAAGAGATTGGATTTATACCCCGCCCTTCAGTTGGAGTCTCAGAGCGGCTTACAAATTCCTTTCCCTTCCCCTCCCCACAACAGACACCCTGTGAGGTGGGTGGGGCTGAGAGAGCTCTGACACAAACTGCTCTTTCAAGGACAGCTGTGCCAGAGCTTGTGACTGACTCAAGGTCACATCAGCAGAGCTTGTGACTGACTCAAGGTCACATCAGCAGGTGCAAGTGAAGGAGTGGGGGAATCAAACCCGGTTCTCCCAGATTAGAGTCCGCACACTTAACCACTACACCAAACTGGAAATAAAAAACGAGCCTGGTGATCAATATTCTTTTTATAAACACTCACAACTTTAGTCCCCAAATGACACAATTTATTTATTTATTTAAAAGATTTCTATCCCACCATTCCACCAAATGAAGGCCCTCAGGCTGCAAAGGTAAAACATTAAAACCAACTTTAAAATTCAACACACACATCAAGCAAAAGAAAAAATATATATAAGCAGGAAGGCGGGTTAATAAGGGAATGCCAAGCAAAACAAAAGGATGTTACTTGCTGTTTTGGAACAGAAAACATCATGATGCTCTAAAAATTTTAGAGTCTCTATGGTAAAAACCACAGAGACTTGAAAAGTCTAGAACAACTGTGACATCACTTTCTGTTGGGGGACCATTAATGACATCAGGACATTCTCAGAATTTTCTATGATTTACTATGGCTCAAGAATTCCTATAGCATTGTGACATCGCTTCCTGTTCCGAAACTGGAAATGATGTCCCAGCTGTTTTCAGTACTCCTGGGAATTTAGATGTAACCCGGATATGTACTACACAACCAAGATCTTTTTTACTCAGGAAAGGCGGCAATTGGCCGATCAGACAAAGCTGGTTAAGGGTACTCCTGACCACTGCTGCCACCTGCTTGTCCAACAGGAGGAGGCCCAGGTCCAGCATCATCTCAAAACTGCAAAACTGCTCCTTTAGGGGGAGTGCAACCCCATCCAGAACAGGAGATACCCAGGACCGTCCTTATTTCCATTAGTAACACTTTTGTCTTCTCAGGATTAAGCTTCAGTTAATTAGCTCTCATCCACCTTAAAACTGCCTCCAGACACCAATTCAGGTTTTCCACAGCCTCCCTGGGATCTGCTGGAAGCATGAGGTAGGGCTAAGTATCAAACACATTGTTAAATACTGGGTTCCATGGATGGTCTAACCCCAAGCTTAGTGATCAGCTCAGCTTTATTAGTGATTCAGCAGATACAAGACTCCAGAGCAACAGCCCTGTTTAAATAGCATGCAAACACCACACTCAACCACACCCAACTCCCAACTATAGGCTATTTACATAACATTAATTTCTCATTGGTCACCTCCAGAGTCCTGGTGAGTTATTGTTCTAGAGCTCCAAGCTTAGCCAGTCTCAGGTAAAAACAGTCTGGAATGTTCCAGTCCCAATATATAATACACATACTGGCAACAACCCAGTCCAGATTTCTGGACAATTTTGGTCATGAATCTAAACATTTTGATTCCAGTCTCAAAAAATAGTGGTTAGGCCTAAATCTACTGCCAAGCCCCTTTTATATGGTGGCTGTGATGTTATCACCCCCAGTGTTTTACAGTGGTACTACTACACAAAAGATGGGCATGTGCATGTCTCTGTGTGTGTCTCTTCTGATCTAAAGAGAAAAAGTAACATCTTGAGGAAAAACAGGTTGCTTACCTGTAACTGATGATCTTCGAGTGGTCATCTGTGCATTCACACCTCTGGGTTATAGTGCGCTTGCGCCAACCCCGATTGGTATTTTGGAAAGCAAAAGGGATTTTTCGTGCCTGCTCCCCAGTCACATGCTGGGCTCCACTGTGCATGACTAGGGGGAGGGCACGAGGATCCCGCCAGTTCCTTCTGACTGCTGCCCTCAGTCTCCAAAGAAAGGAAAGGACCGAAAGCAGAGGGGAAGGAGGGCGGGTGGTGTGAATGCACAGATGACCACTTGAAGATAATCAGTTACAGGTAAACAACCTGTTTATCTTCTTTGTGGTCTCTGTGCATCACACCTCTGGGAGACTAGCAAGCAGTACACGCCTACCTGGAGGAGGGAGCCGAGGTCCTAATTCTGCGCCACCTGCAAACCTGCCCGACCTACTGCTGAAAGCTGGTGAATGCGCACATCAAGGGTGTAGTGCTTCACAAACATGTGAGGAGTGGCCCAGGTCGCTGCATTGCAGATATCTTCTAGCGACGCACCTCACAGGAAGGCTGTGGATGCGGCTACTGCCGGGGTGGAATGTTCCCTTAGCAACCCCGGAAGTGACTTCTTTGCTAATGTGTAGCACAGTTTAATAGTCTCCACAATCCATTTGGATAGGCGTTGGGACGACAGCTTCTTCCTATGGGAGGGTAACGCATAAGAGACAAACAAGGCCGGTGACTTTCTAAAGGGCCTTGTTTGACTCTTTTGACATCCAGCTAGTGAAGCCGACATTCTTCCTTGTTCGACGGGGATGGGAAGAACACTGGGAGGACAGTGTCCGCTTGTAAGTGAAACTCAGAAACAACTTTCGGTAAGAAAGAAACATCTGGAGCCAACGTGACCCCATTATGACAGAAACTCAAATATGGGGGGGTCACAATGGAGCGCTGAAAGTTTGCTCATCCTCCTGGAGGAGGTGACTGCAATTAAAAAGGCTGTCTTCCACAACAGGAGCCGCAAGCTACAAGTAGCCATCGGCTCAAAAGTCTTGTCTGGAAGTCTTGTAAGAACCATGGGCAGGTCCCATGCCGGTGTAGGGTTTTGACATCCAGCTAGTGAAGCCGACATTCTTCCTTGTTCGACGGGGATGGGAAGAACACTGGGAGGACAGTGTCCGCTTGTAAGTGAAACTCAGAAACAACTTTCGGTAAGAAAGAAACATCTGGAGCAAACGTGACCCCATTATGACAGAAACTCAAATATGGGGGGGTCACAATGGAGCGCTGAAAGTTTGCTCATCCTCCTGGAGGAGGTGACTGCAATTAAAAAGGCTGTCTTCCACAACAGGAGCCGCAAGCTACAAGTAGCCATCGGCTCAAAAGTCTTGTCTGGAAGTCTTGTAAGAACCATGGGCAGGTCCCATGCCGGTGTAGGGCCATGCGATGGAGGAAAAAGGTGGGTCAGGCCCTTAAGAAACTTTTTGGCCTGCGGGTGGGTAAAAATGGAGTAACCATCAATTGGTGGGTGATTGGCTGAAATTGCGGCCAAATAGACCTTCAACGAGGTACAACTAAAGCCCAAGTCCAAACGGGACAATAGAAAGCCAAAAATTGCCATCAGATTGGATGGGGGTGGTGGCAGTCCCAATGATGTAAGGTGGGACAAGAATTTTCTCCACTTCCCTTCGTAGGAAGCTCGAGTGGATGGCTTACGACAGTTCAGTATGACATGGTCTATTCTGTCTTTGAACTTCAGAAGAGGATCCTTTAAGCTATGAGCTTGAGAAGCTGCAGAATCTGCCCCTTCCTCGCAAGGAGGAGATCAGCGACTGGAGGAAAAATGTATGAAGGAGCCCTTGGAGAGATGGAGCAGAATGGGAACCAATGTTGCCGGGGCCACCATGGAGTCACTAAGAGGCAATGAGGTTTCTTCTGCATTATTTTGACTAATACTCTGGAGATTAGTGGAATCGGAGGGAAGAGAAACACGTACATGCGTGACCATGGGACAAGGAGACCGTCGCCTAGAGACAGGGGATCAATCCCCGCTCTTGAACAGAACAGGTGACATTTCCTGTTGTGGTGTGTAGCAAACACGTCCATCTCCGGATGACCCCATAGGTGAAAGATCGACTGGAGGTATTGCCAGCTGATCTCCCATTCGTGTTCCAATGCACCACCCCTGCTCAGGAAGTCTGCCTGGATGTCCAGAGTCCCCGGGAGATGAGCGGCTTTCACGGATGTGCCCCACGACAGTCAGTTTTCCCATATTTCCAGGGCTAGACAACATAACCCCCTGGATACCATGCCTCCCTGTCTGTTGAAATAGCAGAGGGCCGTGGTGTTGTCCGTGAGGACAGTGACTACCTGCTGAGCCACAAGGTGTCGAAAGGACCTGAGTGCATACTGCACTGCCAACAGTTCTAGGAAATTGATGTGGTGGTGGGCTACTTGGGATTCCCAACGAGCCCCGACACAAAGTCCTTTGAGATGTGTGCCCCATCCCTAAAGGGACGCATCTGTGGTTACCGTGAGCGTAGTCTTGGGTGGGTGGAACGGAGCTTCCACTA